GCACACATACACACATCAATAAAAGATGGGCTAATAACCCACATCCATAGCAAAAAGAGGTTGCAGGATTAGAAAGGGCTAGTAGCCCAGGTTAAAGAAGCCCAAATTTGTAGTGCAAAGGTTAAAGGTTTAGGCTAGTGACAGGAGCTTGAGAAAGAAATCACTAGGAGAAGTTAAGCTTGAGGTTGGGAAATAGAAGGAAGTTAGAACTGGGCAGAAAATAGCATCTTCCATAATATGAACAAAATTAAGCTGCTTTCTTTTCTTGCTCCAGCTGAAGTATTATAGCAGAGTATGTAAGCTTTAGCTTGCTGATTAAAGTAAAGGGTTGAGGCACAGGTCTGGATGTTTGAAATGCAAGCTGCTAATGATTTTATTTTGTGTATAGGGGTGAAATGCATGCTCTTGCTTGGGGACTAGTGTTGCTTCCACACAACCATGTTGACAACATGTGCAAGTATACACAAAATTGTCGATTGTAGCAGGAAACGAGGTCGAATCCACAAAGACTTTCGGTTATATTCCAAACTATATTCGTAGATATCAAAATGTAAAAACAATAAAATATCGGTGTTTGAGTTGTAACTAAACGAAATATAATAAACAAGCAGTAAATGATCTCAGTAGAAGACACACCTCACAAAGCTGATAACAGGAAGAGGTTACAGCACAGAATAACGAAAAATGGGGGTTAACAGATATGGAAAAGTGGGGGAGATTTAGCATGCTTTCACAGACTTCTCAACCTACCCTCTAGCTTACAAACATTCATTAGTGCCCAACTCGACTTGGTTACCTCCCGAGACACCCAAACATGGATACCCACAACTCCCGTTACTAAGTTTCCAAGCAATATAAACAAGTTATAGGCATGATTAGGGACCCCATTCCTAAGCATCCACATATTACTATAGAAAAGTACTAATCACAAATAGAGCAAGTCGGCAATCCGTAAGCCCTTCCGCGTCAATACAGAAGCTAGCATACAAAACAGAGTGGCCAACAATGTTAGGTAAGATTAAGAAATAGCAACAACTCTATTTAAAAACAAATGAAGCAGCTAGAGGTTCAACCGTTCATCAGTTACAACATGTAAATCTCCCCTAAAATGAGGTTTAGCTCATGAAGAAAGAAGAAAATACAATGGGTAAAGGAAGAAGGCAACCCATTTCAAGGAAATAGCATAAAACCGAGGAAGAAGATGACAGCTCGATGCAGCAGTCAAATATCCCTTTCTGTCGTCAGCTTTCTGCCCCTAAAATGGAGAGATTCCTCCTCCTTGTCGTTTCAACTCTAAAAAACATGTCTCTTTTGGGATCTGTATGTGTCGGCTAGGGCAACATGTCCCGTTTTTAAGGCATCCAGCTGAAGTTTGTACGAACATGGTAAATTCCCATTACTGGATTGTTACTGTTCAGTAATTCCATGCTCCCACGTCACATCGCTCCTGCCTTCGTCTGCTCTGTCTTGCTAATGCTTCATTCACTCTTCTATGGGCTCAGCACTCTCTTGATTTTTTGTTTTCTTTTTCCAAACCTGTATATTTAAGCTAGAAATAAGAGAGTTTAACGCACTTTTTAGCTAAAGCATTCAAGACCTGGGACTTTAGCTCGAAGTTTGGTTTATAAGATTTTTCATGATGTTTAAGAGCTAAAACCGACACACTTTATCATATTTTTATATAAAATCACCCAAATAAACACTAGAATAACTCTCTGTTGGAGAGTTATCAACAAGCAAGATTTTAAGTTTGGGGGTGTGATAACTCTCCAAAAGAGAGTTATTCTAGTAAATAATTGGGTAATTTTGTACAAAGAAATGTCAAAGTGTGTCTATTTTAGCTCTTAAACCTCACGAATAATATTAGGAATTGAATTCCAAGCTAAAGTCCCGTTTCATGAATGCTTTGGCTTAATATTGTGATGAATTCTCTTGTTAATGGCTTGTATCCACAGGTTTGGAAAAAGAAGACAAGACATGAAGAAAGTTGAACCTAGAAAAAAGTAGATGAAGTATGTACAAGGTAGAGCAGAAAAGAGTTGGAGAAAATAATCGTTGGAGTAGGGATTTACATCGTAGTAGCTGTCCCAAACGCGGGATAAATTACCATGTCCGTACAATCACCAGTTGGGTGCCCTAAAACTGGGACCCGATATGAAAGGGGCAATATATCCTAGCCGACACACACAGATCCCAATAGAGAACACTCTTTGGTGTTAGAAAAGACAAGGGAGAAGAATCTCACCATTTTCGGAGGAGAGCTGACGACAAAGAAGGATATTCGGCTGCTGCTGCAAGCTGTCGTCTCCATCTTCAATTTTCTTCTCTTTTCTTTAAATGGGTTGTAACATTTCTTTACCTATTTCATTTTCTCCCTCTCTCATGAGCTAAACCCCATTTTAGGGGGAGATTTATGTGCTGTAACTAATGAACAAGTGAAAGTCTAGCTGATTTCCGTTTGTTATTAAATAGAGCTGTGTTTATTTCTTAAATCTTACTGAATATTGTTGGCCACCTTGTTTAGTATGTTAGCGTTGTATGACCCGGGAGGGCTTACGGGTAGCTGACTTGCTCTATTTGTGATTAGCTACTTTTTTCTAGTAGGGTCGTTGATGCTCAGGAATAAGGTCCCCTAATCATGCTTAAAACTTGTGTTTATTGCTTGGGTATTTAACAATGGAAGTTTGTAGGTATCCATGTTTGGGTGTCTCGGAAGGGAACCATGTCGAGTTGAGCATTAATGAATGATTTCGTGCTAGAGTATAGATTGAGATTGAGTGAAAGCATATATGTCTCCCCTGCTTTTTCATATATGTTTATCCTTCATTTCGTCGTTCTGTTCTGAAGCTTCTCTCTGTTGTCAACATTTTAAAGTGTGTTTACTGCTAGATTTGTTTATGATATTTTCTTTTACTGTGAACACCAACATCTATATTTTATTATTTTTGTAATTTTCGGTATCTTCAAATATAATTTAGAATATTTCCCTAAGTCCCTGTGGATTGGAACTTGTTTCTTACTACAATCGACAGATATAGTGTATACTTGCACTTGTATCTATCACTGTTGTGAGGATGCAAAAGTCGGCTGGCCCTTCCCCTTACTTGGGTCACGAAGGATTGAAGAGGTAGACTCCCCTTCGCCTTGCTCCATAGCAGCAAGGCAATCCTTCGCAATATCAGCGATGGTGTTGGTAATAATAGTTGGGTCGACACTATTCTCGAAACGTGTGCGGGTTCTTCCCCAGTCTCAGATCAGCTGGGCATGGGGTGGAAGTACCTACTGAGCCTGTAGAGGAGGAAACTGGTCCTCCCTATTCTCAGGTGCCAATGGGTTTTAAGGCTGCTGAGGATCAATCAGAGGGGTGTTGGTTCAGCCTCCTTCCCGTTGACCCCCTACTGGGGGTGGTTTGCAATGGGACGATCTACACCCACTTGGTGCACTGGGACTCGATGCCTCGAAGTCCCGACGACCCAAGAATAGGTCCGACGGGTATAGGTTCGACAAACGTTTGTCATGATCACGACCCAGAGTAGGAGTGTGTGACAGTTGAGAACGAGTTGGGATTGTTATTGGTCAATTCAGCTTTGAGAGGAAATGACTTAGAGAAATAGTAGTTTCCCACAGACGGTACCAAATGTTTGATCACAAAAATGACCAAGCCCGTGAACCTCCGCTCGGACTGGAAGATGACCCAGAGGACGAGCTGGAGAGAGCTGGACAAGAGACCTGCAAAATAGAAAACAATCTGACGCCCAAGTCAGAAAGAATCCAAGTTGTATTCAGAGAGTAATATAGTGTTCGCTACTTTAAATGGAGACAAATGAGTTCTATTTATAGGCGAATTCCCTGACAATGTTTCCGATAAGGCCTCAACGACTCATTAAGATAACCGCGAGTCTGTTAGAGTTCTAAGCTAAACTGAGTGTACCTTCATGTCAGTTCGATCTACGAAAGGAAACAGGACCTAAGTTTAAGAGGGTTGGTTCGACTATAACAGGCATCGGCTCGGCAATGGACCCCAATATTGAGGTGGCAAAACTTGGCCTTATCATCTCGAGGCTACGTATGTCTTTTTCCTCCAATCAAGATATGCCATGTGTCTAGCTGAAAAATCACCTCCAACATGTTTAATTATTTTAAACTACAAAAATGGAGATAGACTCAGTCGTTTCAATTCATAATGCAAGATTGAGATGGACTCAATTAGAGTTGTTTCACGATTTGGAACTACAAAAAGGCAAGGGTGCAAGAAATTGACTCGATTCGAAAATTTAACTTGAACCAATCCACCTCTTTATGTTCTCTGACAACGCAGCATTACCAAGATTTATGCACTGTTCAATTTACTCGACCCCCTCCATACTCGTTAGATCTAAGCTAACAAACTTGGTCTCAATGTAGGGATTGTCATCAAACAAGAAAAAAGTTTCGAGAGAAGTTTGAAGTTTTTGTTTTAAGAAAACAATTTTGTTAAGAGAGACGCTAAAGAAAGAAAGCTAAAAAATATGGGTAAGAAAAGTAATTTCAACTCTAYTGTTTATCTGGAAAGGGTCGTCATACCATAGTTGCACTTGACATGACTTTTTCATATTCAAATCTTGGGATTTAAGCTCCCAACCTTTTATTGTATGCCTTAACAAATTAAATTATGCTAAGTCACCTTTCGCCATTTTTTAAGTCTTCTTTCAACAATTTTCTGTTTTAACTTGGGAGGAAAAAAAAAAAGTAAAAAACACTATCAATAATCACACCCGCAAAATTTAACTATCAATTCCTAACACAATTTAATGAAAGATATAAATTGAGCCACTTAAAATAAGTTTACGGTTTTAATTAGGGGTGTAAGGAACCAACCCGATAAAAAAGGAAAAACGCCCCAGGAGTTCGGTCCGAACCGAAACGGATAGAGGTTTTCGGTTCGGTTCTCATATTAACCCAAAAAACCGAGGGTTTTGTTTGGTACGCAGCTTCAGTTCTGGCCGTTTCTACAGGCCGCCCACAGCACACTGCCACTTCTCTCTCTCTCGCACCGGCAACTCCGACAAGTTGTATAACCAGCAGGCGAAATTTTCCGTCCTGTCTCAGGTAGCGGTACCATTTCAATTTCTGAAGAATTTACCACTTTTTAGATTCTACTTTCTGTTCTGTTGAATCAAAAAGGGTTTTGAGTTGTTGAAAACTTTGTTTAACCATAAACAAATTCTATCTGTGAATCAAAAGTGGGGAGGAGTTGGAATTTTGAGGGGTTAAAGAAAAGTAGAGTTCGAGTCTCAATGCTCAGATATCTAATTCCCTCTCTTTTCCTAGGTTTGGCTTTTGGGGGTATGTGTCCATAGTTGTTACTTGTTGCATAGTTAAATTTGTAGATAATCTAATCTTGTGATTAAATACATCACTTTGTATACAAATCTTCATATGGGTAAATTTTTTTGACAGTCAAATTTTACGTTAACAATCTATCATCACCTGGATCTTTCTATTTTTTTTTTAACTCACGACCTTTTGGTTGGAGACATATGTCAATTACTTAATTACTGCTTATGCTTGTTTTGGCATTGTATCTTTCTATCTACTACAATTAAAAAATTGACAACTATTTAATTAAAAAAATATAATTCCTCTCTTCTCCTTTATTCATTTATCTTTATGCATTTATCTCTCTTAACTGTCAATTCTTTTAGTGGTGGTAAATAGTAAACGCCTAGATATTATTTGTTTAAGTTTTTCTTGTATCAAGGGAGGAAGAAGGAAGGAAGAAGAAGAAAAACCAACCATGAACCGAGTTGACCAGAACCAAGCAATTTGGTTCAATTTCCTTCTCCGCTAAATCGAACCTATTTGGTTTTTCCTCTTTTGAGTTTTGCCTAAAAATTGACCCAACCTAGTTACATTGCTAGTTTTAATTGATGAAATTATTAGTTTAGGGTTTTAACTTTTAATTGACTCAACCTACAAAGCTCATAGGTATGGTTTGATTTTTTTCCAAACAAAAATCTATATTTTCACCCTTTTGTTGTTAAAAAACAAAAATAGCTGAGTTTTATATTACTTTCAAAATAGTAAAGATTTTTTTTTTTAACTAAATAAAAACACTTTTCAAATTCATATGGCATACATGTATGTCATGTTTTTCCAAATTCATATATATCACGATATTCTAAAGATGTGGCCAAATATTAGAAAATATTTAGAAGTGATTTTGACAGGATTAAAATCACTTTTGTCCTTGTCAAAATCACTTTTGAACGTTTTTTTTTTATGCTATAGTGTATAAAGCCATCTCTTGGTGTAAATCCTCTCCTATTTTTCATTACTATAGCTATGCTTCCCTCTTGTTTAATTGGAAGTGCTTTATGCAACCCATCAATGGGCTTTTTGTAACCCTTCCATGGACTTCTGTAATTTCATACATCAATTAAATTGTTTCTTACTCAACAAAAAAATACAAAAAAAAATCACTTCTATAGTAATGCTTGTCAGTTTATAGCTCTTAACTAAAAAATTGATTTACTAATGAAGACCAATCGTTAGTTGTTTACGTATGTTCCATTTAGGCTTAAAAGGAGAAGAATGGGAACACAAATCTTACAGCCTTGTTCGAGGAAAAGGAAGGTGAGAGATGGGCATCATAATATTGACGAAGTTGAAGGGCACTGTATGGATGTTCTTAGTGAACTTCCTGGTATCCCAATGGTTCCTTCAAATCAGAACATGAAATCTAGAGTTATTTTTGTACTTGACAAGGCTTCTCTGACACTTGCCCTTGTTGGGAAGGTAAAAACTCTCTTTGCTGCATTGCATCTCTTTTTATACTTTCTAGTGTTTTTTGTTTAGTTCATTTTTTTGGCTTATTCTGTTCTTTTAGCCTGACTTTTTATTAGCTAGTAATTCACAGATTCTGAGTTAAACAATGGTTGATGCTAGTTCTTCTACTTATCATATATATATATGGTGCTTGTTTTCCTATAAGTTCTAACTTATAATTATGCATATGTTTCTGGTTCCAGTGCTATCAGATTCTGAATCAAGAAAAACATGCTGACTTCTTACGAAAGAAGAGAATGGATCCGTACAGGTATAGACCTGATATACTTCATGAGGTTAGTATCTAATTTTAACTCAATTAATTGAGGAAACATAAACATGCTAAATGCAGTGTATGTATTCATACACATACTCTGATTTCTTCCAAGACAACATTTTAAAATCAAAATGGACCATGGTCATCGTTAAATAGAAATGTTTTGTTTTCTTGGTACCCATTGGTGGGCCATTGGCCTTCAAGTTTTACATGTGTGATCTCCATCAATTGAATGTTCAATGCCTTTCAAGTATTGCTGAAGTGATGTCCTTGTCTTTTGTATTGATCAATCAAACTTTTGATGCTGCATACTTGCATATTTAAACCAAAAAGTTTTATGCTATGATAAATAGGTCACTTGATGTAACTACCCGGCTGTTGGTTTTATTAGTTTATTAGTTGGTCGGTTTGCTGTTAACCATGCCTACGGCTATTTTTGTTAAATGTCAGTAGCCCTCTTCTGTAAAAGGGGCAGTGTACTCCCTCATGTGATTGGATCTTTATTAATATAATTATCTCTTAATTTGGCTACACCAAATCGGTGTTAGAGCACTAAGATCTTTGAGCTCAAATGGTGGGTAAGAGAAATGTTAAGAAACCTTTGAAAAATTGGATCCAAAAACCTCGTTAACAAACAAGATCCATAGAACTCAATTCCAAAAATCCTGAAACGATTATGGAATCCACCCAAGGAAAGTAAAAACAAATTACTTTGTAAACTTGTTCCTTGTTTGCGATTCGAACCACTCCACAAGCAAGATAGATTATGTCTCATTCAAACTATCACAATATTGCACATATATTAGCTCTTATCTAAATTATTCCGCAACAAATGCTCTTTTTCTTACCATTGAAATTCTGATTTTAAGAACGGACATACATGGCTATATATAGCCTTGAAAATTAACCCTAAAGTAACCTGTGGTCAATTGAAGGAGTGTAACACTTAAGTCCATAACCTAAAATGTAAATGGAAAGTTTTAAAACTGAAAATACATCAAGGCACCATAAATCCGAGAATGGGAGTTTCTAATCACCCAACCAAGAGTTTTTAACCACCCAAGATTTACTGAAGATCCACTTGAAGTAGCTTGAACTTTAGTTGTAATCACCCGACCAAGATATTTTAACCACCCAAGATTTAATGAAGCTCCACTTGAAGTAGCTTAACTTAAGTTCCACAATTGATGCTTAACTAATCTTAAATAAAGCTTGAGTTGCACTTGAATCATTAAATGCAACTTCATATTGTTGAGAACTTGGACAAAATGTAGGATAAAATCTCAACATCTTTCTTGAAGTCATTGTGGCATAATTAAAGTATCTTGGTTCATGTCAACTTCTCACCACCATGGGAGACTCATCACTTATCGAAAAAGAGGCGGATCAAATCAACCCCCTCTCACCACGAACCACAACCAAATGCTTGCTGTTGGTTGAAGTTTTCGTTGACATTTATAGGAGTGTAGGTGACATTTATAGGAATGTAGGTGAGATGCGACAAATCCTAGGTACAATTACAGAGTAACTGAAAGGTTTAAACTTGCAACAAAATGAACCAAGATTTGGCCAAGAAGAACAACAAAAGAGAACATGGCTTTAAAATTATTTAAGACCTAACAGTATATTCAACCAAAAAGATTGCAAGAACCAAAATTCATTCAACAAGAATTCAATCGAAATCCACTATTTCATAAAAGAATCGAGTTGGATTCTTTGAGCGAGGAAGATGAGATCCCTGATTTGGCGCAAGATAAACGATTAATTAGACCCAACCAACAGCAATCTTATGATACAAGAAAAGACTTCATAATTGGAACCACTCCCACACATCCAAATGAGGTAGACCCACCCTTACTCAAGCAGCCCTTTGCTATCCTTACTATTTACTTTTTATCTCTTTTCCAAATATCAACCAAGATCACTGCCTCATTAGAGCGAATTTACAGAAAGTTCCTTTGGTTGGATAACAATGTAAAGGATGACATTCATCTCCTCATATGGAACTTGGTGAAACTTCCTCTATCATATGTAGGCAACCTGAGTGCAAATTTCTTGAATGATCTAATCATCTTTTTGCAAAATGATTTAGAATTAATTGAAAAGGATTATGCGCCATTCAATAAAGCAATTGAAGTACTCATTCTCTTGATGCAACCATAAATCGTTGATGAAATTATTAGTTTCCTCGTGCAGTTGAATGACTTGCCTAATTTCTCTCAAGTTCACTGTGATGTAGCTGAAATTGTATTACAATATTAAAGAGAACTAAATAAAATTTATGTATAATATGTTGAAAAATACAGTAATTTTTCTCCCTGAAAACTAACCCTAGAATTTTGGCTTTGTCTACTTTTTATTCTTTTATTGCTTTGCCCTTGCTTAGATTTTTATTTTTCAATCTCTCACTTTTGTTCATCTTCATAATCCCCAAGTGTTCTAAGTTTTTCTTTATGGTCAGGCTCTTGTTCACATCATGCATTCTCGAATTTGTATGGCTGGAATAGTAGAGGCTGTGTTCATCAAAACTGATGGAGGGATTCTCATTAGAGTCGATCCACGTACTCGTATTCCGGAATCATTGGACGAGTTTTGCGACATGATGTGTTAGTATTGCTTACCTAACAAAATACCTAGTTAGGTTAATTATATTATTCTCGTGATATTTTTCTTTAAATTTCTTAGACTTGATTGAACCACCAATCAACCCAAAAGCTTAAATTAATGGTTCAATGTAAATTTAATAAATTTATAGGATATATAATACCCCCTTCACTTGTGGGCTTGGAAATTTGCACAAGGCCCAGCAAGTGGAAATGAATATAAATGGGGAGGAAATGATCACACAAAGGTTCGAACAAACCTCTGCTCTGTTATCATCTTAAACATGAATTTAATTCATTTGTAGGATATATAATAAAATTTCTTGCACATCACCATTGCAGCTCAATTATTGCAAAAGTTTAGCACTAAAGCCAAAGGCAAACGTGGAAAGCTTTTGCAACTGGTCAAGAATCCTATAACCCAGTACTTACCTATCAATTGTGTGAAGATCGGTGAGCAACTCTTTTTTCGAAGGACTGATTATTTTATGAAAATGTCGTAACCTATATATGTTGGCATTAATCTAGGTCTTACCTCAAGTTCAACAAAGGTGGTTGAACCACGGGATTATTTCACAACTTTCAGCAATGATGTCAATTTTGTGTTTGTGGTAATTCGATACTGTAAACGCTCTCGAATCGTTCGAATTATGTATTAAGTGTTATTTCAAGTCTTATCATTTTCTGTGAACACTAAACGCTTATATCTATTCAGATTGGTGCAATGGGTCATGATAAAATTGATGTTGAGGGCATAGATGAAGTGATATCAGGTTAGCCCTTGCAAAGTTATTTAGATCATTAATTGTCATGAATTTTTTTTATACATATCTTTCCTCCCATTTTCTAATATTGCATTCCAAGAAGCCATTTAAAATGTGCAAGTGGACTGTATCATAGTGGGGAAT